AACTTTGAGCACTTTTCGCCCATCACGATGAACCGAGCTGTACCCAAACCAAACCGGGAAGAGATGCTTCTCCTATGTAAAGGTACCATAGAATGCATTTTTCAGTAAAGTGTTTGCCGGTGTCTAGAAGGTATGTGAACTTGGTTTGGTCAAAAAAATACCCTGAAGCAGTTTTACTGGCCCATTTACAACTCTATGATTTGGTCTTAAAATGAAACAGGCAGTTTTCCCTTTCTTGGTGGACTCATTAATATGTTGATAAGCTCTGCTCTGATAGGTTGGTTTATGGTCAGCCACTGCGAAGGCTCACACAGAACCAAGATCTCTTCAGTCATGTGCCGCATAATGGTGTTTCAGTCAAAGACGGATCACATTTATGATGGTGGTCCCATAAGATTATAACAGCTGAAAAATTCCTAGTAGCTAGTGATGATGTAGTGCGACACATTACTCACGTGTTTGTGGTGATTCTGGTGTAAACAAACCTACTGCGCTGCCACTTGTATGTAGCGTATACAATTATGTACAGTACATAATATTTGATAATTAACAACCATGTTACTGGTTTATGTATTTACTAGAGCTGCACTGATGATTTGGGAGGCGCTAGCTTGGGCTGTCCTGTGCACTCGCTACAGCTTGTGATACACAAGGGGCTGCTATCGCAACAAAGTGTAAATTATGCTGTTAGCAGTGGGAGAAAAATTTTGGGGGGAGTTTTAATAGGGTCTATCCACATTCTTTTATCTCGGATACAATTCCGATACTGATACAGATTCCAATACAAGAGCTCTTTTTACTTATAAAATAATCAATAAAATATGAAAAAAATAATATTTTAATATACTAAATGTTAATTACTAGCTTAAAATGTTAATATATAAATACAGATGAAAAAATGTATGCAAAAAAATCTTTAATTAGGCTATTAGAAACATGCATTATGTACTTGTTTGTACATCTTTTTTGTACATTTTGTATGTTTTGTACATAAGTGTTTTTGAGGCATTTTCAGTTCAGTTTGAATATCTTCCAAGCGAGGATACGCAAGTGGTAAGCGGGGAATTTTACACATAATGTTTCTCCCACTGGCTACAGCGTCACACTTCGTTGCGATTAGCAGCCCTTCATATCACAAGCTGCAGCAAGCGCACAAAGCTGCCAAAGCTAGTCACTCCCAAATCATGCATTACTTTTATCATATCACTTGTGGTGTCTCACACATTTGCGTGCACTTTGTTCAGTGGGATTTTCCATGAAACGCTACTCCCACCCCTCAAACCTTTGTTTTTACAAAGATTGCAAATCACTGTGCTACGAGTTGTTAAAAGCATAAAATACTTCCAGATCGCCACCCTCTTATCTGATGTTCTTGCGTCACAGCAGCTGGAAGTCATTGCGCTCACACCTACTGAGTAACAAAAAAACTGACTGGCGGCGTTAGCGTTCAGCTTGAATGCTGCAATAACGCATCTAAAATGGGAAAGAGTTGTGCTATTGATTGTTCAAATAGATTTAACACGATGTAGGAGCTATCTTTTTTGAGACTGCCAAAAGTAAGTATCGGACGTGGATCGGTCATGTATGGCCAAAATCCAAGGCATCAAATCAGTGTGGATCGGCGCTGGTACCAATCTGAATATGGGATAAGTGCATCTCTAATTTTAAGCATTTGCGTATACTTTCTTGGAAGATACTCAGATTGAACTCTGCAAATGAAAAACGCTTTAAACAAAATTGGTGAGGCGAAACAGTACATTACGTATGTTTCTGATGGCCTAATTAAAGATTTTGTTTGTGTGTGTGTGTAATAAAGACTAGTTTAGGTGCCAAAGTTTTGGAAATAATGATAATGTGAGAGAACCTAGTGATTCCTGTACATGCGCACAGCAGTCACAATAACCTTACATCAATGACTGTCCATTGAGAGCACAGTTTCCACAAGTACACCTGGCGAGGGAAAATGTATCCTGGCAGCCTTTCAGTCAGGCCAGGTTTGGGAGCATGCAGTGGTACAGTGCATCGCCATACCCATCATACGACAGAACACCTCGGGATCATTGCTGAGGACCCGAGTGACTGGACTAGGCCAAGGGGATGCCCACGTAACACCTGGCTGTGACAGATAGATGGTTATTTCTGGAGGGGAGGAGTGGATGGCGTGTCTGCCTGGGGTCTCGCCAACTGGGATCCTGAGGTCTGTTTTTCGTGTGGCGGTTGCGACAACGCTCTGTACCAGTGCATACTCCCCAACCTGACCAGACTGAATGGCTGTCAGTATATACTATTTGTCACCAGGTGCATTTGTGGAAACTGTGTACTCAAGCCCCCAAGAGAGAACATACATGTTGATCTTTGTCAGATTTTCATTCCATGGTACCTTTAAAAAAGTACTACATAACGGCTGAACAGAAATTCCGCTAGCGTTTGATGCTAACATAACATGGTGATTCACAGATGTGCTAGCGAAAATTAGCACATAGTAAATCATGATGTACGTCATGGGAACAATAAATAGGTGTCTCTTCGGGTTTTACGTCACTGTCGCTCTTCAAACCTGGCAACAGCTTTACCACGCTGTAACTAGTCTCTTCACGGTACAGGATGGGTAAGGCCCAATTCCTTTATGCCAATGGAAAAGCACCATTTGTGTCAACACTTACTGATAGCATTAATGTTCATTGTTTCATGAATTATTTTTGAAATCAAGGTACTTTTTATTCAATTTTAATAATTGTTTGTAACAGGTAGTATATCAAGCTGTGCAGTAATAAATGCGATAACCCACACCATCAGTACTGTTAGTCCCAAATCCCAGAACATCAGCTGCAGTGCTTAGAAGGCCTTGCCCCCCTGTCCACTCACAGTCTAAAGACTTTTGCTGTAGTTGCATGTTTTTTTTTTTTTAATCACACTTTAAACAAAGAGTAGGAACATAAATTGATTTCTGCTATGGTGTTTTCTTTGCTGTCTCTGTAAACAGAACCTGGTGAAGCATCTTCCTGAGCAGGACCAGCTCAACGCTTTGGCCAAATTCAAGTGCGAGTACAGCAGCCTGTCAGAGCCAGAGCAGTTTGGCGTGGTGGTAGGTGACCTTCCTGCTGGCTTTGGGGTGTCTATTGCCTTTCAGGGAAAAAAAATCAGTGCTTCATACTTTAAAAAAGATTTCCCATGTCTTCTTTTATATTATAAATTATTATTATTGTTATTATTATTACTACCATTTATTTTGTGCTCAAGGACCTAAAAACTACATACTTTAGTTTTTGGAAATTTCATAAGAAAATCTTATACATTTATTTTATATTTGTATAAAGCCAATTTGTGATTGTGTTCAGCTGTTTAAGTTTAGCAATAATTTCTTGTCATATCAGCACAAATGCGCAAAAAATACGAACACATTTGCTCCCACAACAATCGATTGCCACACGTATAGCTTTTAAAGGTGAATGCGTACTTGCATACCAGTTACGTGCATCCCTGTTTGTTTGTTTGTTCACTGTTAATTAAAAAAAATAACAATAAATACATGTCGGATGTTACGGTTCATATCTTTAAGTGCTCATCCTTGCATTAGAATATAGACCAGTTAATTTGTTGATAGTATCTCATGTAGTAATGCTGTGCTGTATGTTTTAAGTCTATTACCCACTGAATATTGAACTGAAAATTCTATCACAAATCAAATCACAATCGCAATATCTGTCAGAATAATCATGATTAGATGTTTCCCCCAAATCGTTCAGCAACACCAGTAATCAACCATACAGGCACAGGATAAGGCCTAGAACATTAAGCAGTAGCAGGATCGGTATAAAAAGAACAATAATTTTGCTTCCTACAAATACCACTGATCCTTTTTGTGTGTTTTAGAAAAGGGGGGGAAGTTTTCTTCAACTTGATGTCCTTCTCATTATAACAATTTCCATCAAGCATTCACAAACCCAACATTAGTTTTATGCATGGTGTCAAAGTCCAACATTTTTTTAAATACCTATAATAATCAGAATCCCTTCATTTGAAAAGGCATGTACGTTACTAGAAGGCACATGAATCCATTTGCAGCCATTCATTATATATATGCATATTAACCAGCACACTGTACCAGGGAGCATCCAGAGCTACAGCCTGGTCTGAGCTGGCCAGTGCCAGGTCATCTCCAAGCTGTTCAGCAGCGGAAATGCTGACCAAACACAGTAGTAGCATCCTAGGCAAATTGAAACCAAAGACACCAAAGTGTGGCAATACAAATTTCTTGCTTCCCCCTTCTTATCCCAGTGTTAATGTGTTTCATGCTGGTAACATCTTAATGTTGATATTTTCCCTTCCTTTCCCCTGTTTTTGAACTTTAGAATGATGTGCGTTTTGCTTGAACATAATTACATTTTATCGTAATGGAAATAATTGTTGAACTTGATATTTTATATCCGTATTGATGGTATAATATACTAAAGCTGTTCTGTTCATGCAGTTGACAGGAATTCTGTCTGCCATTGATGTCTGCAAATTGTTCAGGCACTTCTCAAAAGAGATGCAAAAAATAATTGTATCTGAACTTGTCCTGTCTTTGAAAATGTGCTGTGTTTTATGTAATTTATTCCAGACGCTTAATTATTATTATTTTTTTTATCTGTGGCATTGAAATTACATGTAATGGAAATAGTGAGAGTCATAATGGAGATTCAGTATTTCACAGCGGACAGTCTCCCATATACATAGTGATATTTTCTTTTTCATTTAAGTTTGATATTGTGGAGTGCTTATAGGCAAGGGCGTAACTTTGGCTGGAACATTGGGGGGGTTGAGGTCTCCACCCATTACGGGGGGAACATGATTATTGGGGGGGTTGTGTTAGCTGGTTTTGATTTATTGGGAGGGCTACAACCCCCCCCCCTCCCCCCCATAATTTACGCCCATGCTTATAGGTATTTGTTTAATTATCTTAATGGTGCTGTAAGTAAACAAAATGTATTATTTTACCATTTTTAACTATCCTTTTTAATCTTTATCATTTACAACCACTTCTCTGTGCTCAAGCAGTACAACAAATACAATATCTCAGGTTTTTATGAAAATGCTTTGCCATTCCTCTGATGCCTAAACAGCCCACAGTAGTGTTTCCCAATCCGGTCCTTGGGGACCCGCAGATAGTCCATATTTTTGCTCCTTCTCAGCTAAAATCTGGGGATGGAGCAAAAACGTGCATGGAGCAAAAATGTCTGTGCATCCCTGAGGATCGGATTGGGAATCACTGACCCGCAGTTTTATATAAAACATATCATCTAATTCAGGACTACCAATTCCCATGATTATGCCCCCACTTTCCTTTTCTGTTTCGCTTCAGTTCTGTCTCTCTTGTACACATGTGGAGCTCCCTCTACCCGCTGTCTAATTTCCCCTGAATTCTTTCATTATTTGTACTTTGTCATCTGTAGGTCATAGATGTTTTAGGTGTGAAGGTGAGTAGAGAGCCATGGGTACAGAGATAAAGAAACCCACTTTCCTGGTAGCCAGCTTTACACTGTGAGTCGTCATCTTTGAAGTTCTGCTGGGGAGAAGTTTAGAGTCAAAGGCACACCAAGAATTTGCATAACTTTTACAGTTTGACGTTTTGCAGGGACACAAAGCTGACACCCATTTGAGATGGAGTGTTACTTTTACATATAAATAGGGTAACCTAAAGCTAATGTTGGTAGCCAAACAATGCAAAGATTTTATGCAATGTTATTAAATACACTTTTCGCACAAGTGAAAATATGTTTGCTGAATGCAGAGAACGCTCCAGCAGATTCCTTTATTGCATTTGCAGTCTTTCTCAGTATAATTTCCAGAAATCGTAGCAAGTCCTTCATACAAAATGACAGTGTCTTGTGATTGAGGCTGAGATTTCGGACAGAACTGTAATATTGTATTCTTTTATTAGTGTGCTTGTTCATTTTTGTTGGAAATCTTTTACTTCTGATACGTCTGCTTGCCAGTCTCTGTAGTTAGGTTTTCTACTTTGAATGAACACTGTGTGGTCAGTGGGTTAGGATTTTGTGCCTCTGATCAGAAGGCTGTTGGTTCAAATCCTGTGGTTGGGAGAGTGATTTTACCATTGAGCCTTTGTGCAGCACCCTTCACCACAACAGCTGCCAGGGCCGGCTGCCCATGCTTTCTCAATTGTAGGTCAGTGTGGATAGAGCATCTGGTAATTTAATATAAATAAAAAAAACAAACAGTAAACATAGTAACTTAAATTCATTTTTGTTCTCAATTCATTTACATAGCTTCCATTTTTGGGTTCAGTTGTCAAACTGCAATAAAAATAGATCAGAAGCCCACAGTAATGCAAAAGATTATTTAGATGGTGTTTTAGAGTGAACTGTGGTCTTTTATTTGATTAAGGTTCTGAAAAGATTCCAAGTAACAACAGGTCAGGAAGTACATGTCGATTCACCAGTGATCAGTTCATTGAAAAAAAGCTGCTTGATAGATTTACAGTCCTCGCCCATTCTACCTTCAGTGCTGCCCTACGTGTATATATGCCATCTTGCGTATAACATTAAAAATAATCCAATTTTTACCTGAGCCTAACCAATAACTTATCCAACTATTTTTCTGGTTCCTCACCAGATTAGCAGTGTCAAGCAGCTTCGCCCACGGCTGAATGGCATCCTGTTCAAGCTCCAGTTTGAGGAGCAGGTGACTAACATCCGGCCGGACATCATGGCTGTGAGCGCGGCCTGTGAGGAAATCTGCAAGAGCAAGAGCTTCTGCAAGCTGTTGGAGCTCATCCTGCTTACGGGCAACTACATGAATGCTGGTTCCCGCAATGCACAGTCCTTTGGGTTTGATCTCAGCTCCCTCTGCAAAGTAAGTGTATTAATCATTTGTTGCAGCAATCTACCAGCACTGCTTGTTTTACATGTGCTATGTGGCTTTTCTGGCAGTATTCACTTAAATGTTAGTTTGGCATCGACCTTCACAATATGACTGGCTTCTAGTAAATTCAGTGCGTTTAATTACTGTGTTCTAGGGGTTAGGGATGTTAACCGATGACCGTTTGACCGGTGGTTGACCGTATCAACGTTAACCGGTTAAAGTTGGCCGTAGTCGGTTAAAAAAAAAAGTGATATCTAAATTAGGCTATTATAGACAGTGG